GTGAGAGTGGTGGGACAGACTGAGAGGAAGTGGTCCCTGACTACGTGAAGGGAGTCAGGGAGGCGTGTGACTATGTAATAGAGAGTGATGTACATGGGGGGGGGGTTCTTGGCGCAGAACTCAGCAGGAAGGGCGGCACGGTAGCGAGTGTCACTAGTGCGGAGGTGCGTAATGAGGTCAGCGACAGTGGGAAAGGCAGCAAGGTCAGGAAAGAGGTACGGTAGCATGAGGCGGCTAAGGGCAGCAGTGGCAGGGGAAGAGTAGCGCGCAACTACAGCGTCGTACAAGGTCTGAGCACTCTTGTACTGACTAAAGTGCGCGCGCTCAGTGGTAGGCAGGTGGCGACGCACAGCAAGACGTGCAGCAGCATCGCGGGTGGCCCACTGAGAGCGAACAGTGGGGTCAGCATCAGCAGCAGGGGCAGGAGAGGCGCCAGAGGTGAGGTCAAAGAGGGAAAGACCGTCCGCCCTATCGCACTGTAAGAACAGCTGCAGGTCGTCGACCCAGACCTCAAAGTCAATGGCTCGACCCTCAGCGTCAAAAGCGAGGACACTAGGGGTAGCCATGACGACGACAGTGTAGTAGTGCAAGCAGTAGGGGAAGGGCACGCAGTAACAGTGGTGCTGTGCTCACCAGGCAGGGCAGGTCGGGCGGCTCGGCAGTAGGGCGGCCCGGCGGCTCGGCGGCTCGGCTGCTGGGCGGCTCGGCTCCCGGGCGGCTCGGCGGCAGGGCGGCTCGGCGGCAGGGCGGCTCGGCGGCTCGGCTCCCGGGCGGCTCGGCGGCAGGGCGGCTCAGCAGCAGGGCGGCTCGGCTGCACGGCGGCTCGGTTGCTCGGCTCCCGGGCGGCTCGGCAGCAGGGCGGCTCGGCGGCAGGGCGGCTCGGCGGCCGGGCGGCTCGGCTGCAGCGCGGCTCGGCGGCGGGGCGGCTCGGCTGCTCTGCTGCTGGGCGGCTCGGCTGCGCTGCTGTTGGGCGGCTCGGCTGGGCCGCTGACGTAGCGAGGCGGCGGGGCCTCGAAGACGGGCGGCGGGGCCGCTGCAGAGAAGCGGCGGGGCCGCAGGGAAGGGCGGCGGGGCCGCAACGAGAGAGGCGGCGGGGCCGCAGCGAGAGAGGCGGCGGGGCCGCAGCGAGAGAAGCGGCGGGGCCGCGAAGTCGGGCGGCGGGGCCGCTGAGTAGGGCGGCGGGGCCGCAGTGAGAGGCGGCGGGGCCGCAGCGAGAGAGGCGGCGGGGCCGCGAAGACGGGCGGCGGGGCCGCAGTGAGTGGCGGCGGGGCCGCAGCGAGAGATGGCGGCGGGGCCGCGAAGACGGGCGGCGGGGCCGCAACGAGAGAGGCGGCGGGGCCGCAGGTAAGGGGCGGCGCGCCGCAGCCGCTATGGCGGCTCGACGCGACCGTAAGGGCGGCACTACGGGCCGCTAGGTGCGACTCGACGGGCCGCTAAAAAAAAGGGCAGGCGCGACTCGAGGCGCGTTTCGGTGGGCCCAAGGAACAGTCCCTAGGAGGGGACCTGCTCTGATTCCATGTGAGAATGAGAACGAGAATGAATGAACTATGAATGAAGTGAGTACATATAGCAAACCCTAATTGGGTCGTACCCCCTATGGGATACCCCACTATAGCCTACACAACAGCATAAGCTATATATATGTTCTGACACACTTGATCTTAGCCTTGAAAGGCCTTTTTCAGCCCTAATTTTTTTACACTCACACGGAACCTCTCAGAAAAACACATATTTTTATAAATTTACCTATTTTCGAAATGTTATATGCCTTTCAAGCAAGTACAGTATCGTTCATATCTCGATGTTATGTTATCGCGTGCAATTGACGACGATGGGACGCAACAATAAATTTATCATACGGTGGACCATCCATATGAGCAAAAACGACATGTGGATCACCTCGGCCTCACTTAAAGCTCCAGTGTACATTTGTCAGTGAGGTTTATGGTTTTTTTTTTGTGCCTCACAGTTTTGGGGCAACTTTTCAAGTTCCTAAGGATTTTGAACCCCTACTTACAAATGTATACCGGAGCTTTCAAGTTCGGTCCCCGACATCCCGTAAACACGTGCCCGAGGTGGACCACTATCTCTAGAAAGTGGAGTAGATAGAATAATTTTCGAGTTTTGCTATAGTGCGTACAACCTCAAAATTGGAAGGCCAGGCTCGGCCAGAAGACCTAGCCTCCCTACCGAAGCTTCATCCCGTCGCTTTCGGACTTCACGCAACCGGACCTGTGCCCAACCTAGACTTGGTGGCTGCCAAGGTTGCTTGTTCCCTGCATGATTGTGTGAACAACGCCAACACAATGAGGAATTAGTTTTCCCGCCTAAATTTCCGTCTTTTCCCCCGAATCCAATTGCAACCGAGCCACTCACCCGTCTGGTGTGAATTGAATTCAACAAGAGCTTGGTAAAACGGGCAGATAAAGTCCCTCATTTTTCATCCCCAAAACGTCTTCCATCCCAACAAAGCACGACGGAACATGCGTTCTTATTTCTGCTAGGTGTTTTGGCATGCTGGGCCACAAGTTCGAGCCTCGAAGGCGAGAATTGGGTTGGAGAAGGCGAGAGGAGACTTGGAGGGGCGGGCAAGTTCGGGTCGGAGGATTCAGGGAAAACGCCTCAAAAACAAAACATGAAAGGGCAATATGCAATCGGATACGAGGAAAACCGCGCGTTGTTCCCTCTGGTCCCGGGGATTTCTTCCGCGCAACACGCCCTGAAGCACTTCGCCAGGACTGCCATGCCATGCCACCACATCGGAGCAGCAGCAGCAGCAGCAGCAGCAGCAGCAGCAGCAGCAGCAGCAAGTAGTAGGTACTTGAATCAGGTGGTGGTGTAGGTGCACCGCAGTGCACACTAGGGCGCCTGGGGCGTGGCGCGTGCGAACAGCTGTGCTGTGCATTTTCCAAGTTTTTATTTTGCAGTTTGACCACTACTGCCGTAACCGTAGTAAACTACCGCATGTGCCGTGGAGCTGCTCTAATACGTCGCTTTCGTCGTCGTTTCTCACTAAAACGTTTCAGCCTCATGCTTGCCGCGGTTCGAATGAATGCGGAGGGACAGTCGAGCGACCTTCGCAGTGCTGACGTGGCGCGCATGTGATGCGGTTGTTAGACAGCAACACATGGACAGCACCCCGACCTGCGACTGGTCCAATCACGATTAGCAGGCCATCAGTGCCCCATGCGATACTTCGTCGTGTCCTTTTGCGGAGAGACGATTCAATTAGTCTTATTCGTTTGGGCGGGACTCTGGAATTAAATTATGGCTCACCTCACATCGCATCTCCTGCAGGGTGCCCTTCCGTTCCTTCGTTAGAAGCAACAAGCTGCAACCATGACCCTTCTACAGGGACTTGAGGCACACGAGGGCTCGGAAGTAGTACTAGTAGTGGTACCTGCTCCCACCAACTTCGTGACACGCTCAGCGATAAAAATTCAGGCTTGCTCCCAGCGCGACAGAGATGATGTGTTTAGGCTCTAAGTGCTTGAGGGGTTTTCATTCTTTGGATAGACAAGGAGAGACCGCACGCGGTGACCTTGGGGTTGGCTGGGGGAACGCGTCATGGGGCCGCGGGGTTGGACGGCCTGTCGGAGTCACAATCCGTCGCACGTGCTGCTGCGAGTCGCCGTGCTGCCGCAGCGTTGAGGAGTGCTGTCGCTTCCCACCCCTGTTCTTCAGCTTCATGTTTCAAGATTTCACGAGGGTTGTCGCCTGCCCTGCTTGCGACGAGTGCGGTAACGGGGCGAGCGAAAGCGCGTGGAAGGGCTGCGACGGCGACAGCGTTGAGCCTGGATGGCAGGGGAATGCTGGCAGAGGCGCCAGGAAATGCCTGGATGGCACAGATTGCGTGACATCCAGCGCAGCATCTCGGAAATTCCCAATCTTGGAGCATCTTGTTCGGTTACGAATCATGGATTGCGGTGGACGAATGGCTGATTCACCAGCGGTCACAAATTCCATCATGGCACAGCCGCCGCACTTGGCGGAGGTGCAAACCTACGCCCCTGCAAGCGGCGAGACACGCGAGGCGCAGTTTCTATTTGCGCTGGAGCTTTTTCAGAGGGATTCACGCGAGCGTATTAACAAGTCGATAGTCGGTTCGGTAATCAGTTGCGAGCACAATGAAGGTGGCGAGTCCTGTGCCTCTGGCGCGTTTGAGCGAGGCTGGGGCGAAGAGCTCTGGCGACAAGACCCGCTCTTGTCGTGCTGCGTCTCCGCCGTGCACTGCCTCACGAGATTGCTGGACGCGACCCGCGTGTCAAACTCGCTGACGTCAGCGTGGTCAACGCGCAAGAGAAGCAATGAGCAGGCGGAGCGGTCGAGTTTATGGCTCTGGCGGGCGGCTGGGGAGCAGGCGAAGCGAAAACATCGCGCAAGGTTGCAGGGTAGACCGAAAGAAGGGAAGAGGCAGTAGCTGACTAGGGTTTGTGGACGAAGCAGATGTGCAACACCTGGTGGAATCTGAAAATGATGGATCAGGCTGGAACTGGTGGGAGCTGAGGGAGGGAAAAAACGAGCCCCCAAAAGCTCATGCTTTTGTGATGGGCTGGCCTCTGTTCCTACAGTACCCTGTTTGGGATGCATCATACGGTGGTTTGATTTCATGTGTAGGTAATTTGGTCAGTGTTTTACCCTCCATATTCTGCTTCAATGTGAAGCTAACTACAGTTACAATATGGATTCATGAATAACCACCTCACAGGTCTTTTTATTGATTCATCCTTGGCTGTCCCGTCAGTCCTTCGTTGATTTCTGGGAGGCGTAGAGATGTGAACCTACTCCCAGATGATGTAATCCACCACACTCAGAATGTAGGGTAACACCAGTCCTAGTCTCCACAACCTGGTGAAGAATGAATGTGATGCCATGGTCATAGCATATGTACAGAGAGGACAGGGCAAACCGTGCGGAGCCATGGCAACAGACGAGCGGTGCGTGTTGATGGGCAAACGGCTGTATATTGCCTCTACCCAACCAACGCCTTGAATCTCATCTTATAGGCGAGCAGCACTGCAGGGAAAAAACCAGAAACTTGAGACAGCGCGTTCCAGCGAGGCGGGGGCATGCGAGTAGAGTGCCTTTGAGACAGCAGGCCAGGCGGGCATGGAGTGCAGGAGGAGGCCGAGGGTGAACCAGCAGGCGCAGAGGAGCGGCACCGCTGCTGCCGCTGCTGCTGCCACCATGCGAGCGTGGTAGGAGGCGGGGGAGAGAGCGGGCGAGGCAGGGGGGCGGCGGGCGGGCATGGCGAGGGCGAGGGCGAGCGCAGAGAGCAGCACAGCGAGGGCAGTGAGGGCGAGCAGCGTGAGGAGGGCGGGTGGGCAGCAATGCGGCTGCATGCAGGCGAGCAGCGCCAGCAGCGTGGCGAGCAGCAGTGCAGCCGCAGTGGACTTGAGGGCTGCCCGCCACAACAGGGGCTCCATGGCGAGGGCCAGCGCGTGGGGCTGGGGGTGTTGTGATGGGGGGAGAGCAGGCGAGGAGGAGCGATGTGAGGGGGGTGGCGTGGCAGTGGGGGCGTGAGAACCGGAGGAGGCGGTGGTGCATGCAGATGTAGTTCCCTCACTCCCCTCACCCTCCTCACCCTGCCACGCCTCCTCTCCCCGCCCCTGAAACACCCTCGTCGTCCCCCCCACTTGACCCCCACGCCCACGCCTTCCCCTCTGCCCTCTCCCCTCCCTGCCCCTGCTCGCATCCTGCTCATCGCCCCCCCCGCCACCCCACACCGCCTCCCCCCCACTCGCCCCCCCTCGCCTCTCCTCCATGGCTGCTGCCTCCTCCGCTGCCACCTGGCACGCCGTTAGCCGCTGAGTCGCCGCCGCCAGCTCTTCCCTCAGACGCCCGAGTGCCAGGCTGGCAGCCGCCAGGTCAGCCTGCAGCTGCGAGCAGCGCGAGGTTGAGGCGTGCAGGCCAGCCTGCAGGCGCGCACCGCGGCGGCGCTCCCTCGCCAGCCCCCTCTCCGCCTCCTGCCGCGCCGCCGCCTCCTTGTCCAGCTGATGTGCCAAGCGGATGAGGTGGATGGGGCGGATGGGGCGGTGCGGGTGGTTGGGACGAGCGTGGGACATGAAGAGAAAAGACGAAGGGGCAGGGAGCAATGGGGCATAGTGAGAGGCGAGAGGGACGAATAAACAAAGACATGTAGATGAGATAGAGACGACGGATGAGGCGGTGAGCAAGACCAACGCCGTATCCAAACCCCCCTTTTCCCCCCATTTCCCCCACTCCCGCCCATTTCCCCCCGTCCCCCCCGTCCACCCCACCCCCACCCCCTCCCCTCCCCCACTCCCCATCCTCTCATTCCTGCGCGGAGCACCACTCCTCAACTCAGCCCCCAGCGACACCACCTTCCCCAAACCCCCTGCACCACTCACCCATCCCCCTCCCCTTCCCCACCCCCTCGCGCACCTCTTGCACGGCGCGCTGGAGGCACTCCTTGAGCTGCGCGCGCTGCGCCAGCGCCTTCCTCAGCCGCGCCGCCGCCTCGCGCGCAGCCGCCTCGCTCGCCTCCCTCGCCGCCTCCTCCCGCTTGGCGCGCTGCTGCAGCGCCGCCGCCGCCTCGCGCCAGTACCCGCCCTGCTGCTGCGCCTCCGCTAGGCTCGCGCGCATCTGGTCGGGAGAGGGGAGAGCACGAGGAGAAGGGGGGCGGGGGGGAAACGGGGGGCAGGGAGGGCGGGAGAGAAAAGTTAGAGGCGAAGGCGAAGGCGGTAGCAGGACGCGTGCGACGCGTCTTGGCGAGGGGGGCGGATGGAGAAGAGGCGAAGCGAGATGGGGGTTCCAGTGGAGGGGATGGGGTGAGGGGAAGGCGCGGAGACGGGGAGATCAGGAAGGCGAGGCGAGGTGGTGAAGGGGTTGTGACGACCACGATTTGCCCATGCGGCGGGCGGCAGACCGGGCTGGCTGCACGCGGAGAGCGACGGGAAAGAAAGCGATGGCGAGGCGCGGAAGCGAGAGGCAAGGTGCAGTGAGGTGAAGGCGGATCTGCGAAAAAACGAACCCGCGAGCTCCGCCGCCTTACTGCGCGCGTTTTGCTGGGCGCGGAACCCGAACTGCCTTTGCCATCCGGTACGCCCCCTTGCGCGCACCTTGTTCTCGCGGAGGGTGGCGGAGAGCAGGCGGAACGGGAGCAGGGGAAGCGCGCAGATTGCGGAAAGGCATGTGGAGGCGAGGAAAAGCTGAAGCCGCACCGCCGACCAGATGAACTGGCGGAGAGGTGACGTGGCGGATGCGACGGCTGACGTGGCATAGATGATGATGGAGAGAGGTCCATACTCGTTAGCCATGGCGGCGAGGTGGTGGTACGACGAACGAACATCGGAGAAATGGAGAAGGACGAGGTAGCAATGGCAGAGGGGACTGGACTCGCTGCTGGCGGGACCTACAAACAGACAAGGTACCTGTTGCTGATGCCACCACTATAACGGATATACATAGTTGTTTTAGAAATGTGGTGGTAATACCGTATCTCATTTTGTTTCGGCCAAACTCAACTTCCAAAGTCGTCGCCTAGCAAATTCCCCAACTATAACCTGCGTCATTTGTATACTAATCTTGTACCAGCTTTGTCCCATGCCATTCAGACAACAACTACTTTCCTAAGTTCCCTACATCTCCACTATACAAGATGATTTGGTGGGTTGCAGCAAAACAATCAAATGTGAATCAGATAATACCATCATTGTCGTCAGGAATATGTAACAAACCTTAGGTCAAAACTTTTGTCCTGGGGCATGGCAGTTCAAGCTCGAAGGTTTCCAAGTGTTGTGAGGTTGATGTGATGCATGACAGAGCTGTCATCCAAGCCAATGCACTTGGGAACCGCGAGTCACCACTGCCACAGTAGATATTGTTGGAATAACCGAAAGGTTTTTATAACATTCCTGAAGACTCTCCCCTAGCGGACTTCTCCATAACGAAGCAGCGCTACTATATCAGTACCGCAATAGTTCATACGGTATAGAACACGCGACAGACAGAAAGCCGCCCGAAGGGCAACAGTCACAGGGAGTCAACGGTCGTGAATTTTGACCATCCGGCAACCGTATCGAAGGTTACACGATGCAACCAGTGTCAGGAAACGACCCAGTGAAGCCAAGTGGGCGGCGCAGCCAGATCTCCTCGTGCAGGCTGCCCTGCAAGAAAGCTGTACTGAAGTCCAGAGAGTGCAACTCGTAGTTACGCTGAGCAGCGACGTGCAGCAACACCCGAAGAGTAGTCATCTTCGGGGTGGGGGAGAATTTCTGGAAGTAGTCAGCCCCCTGTCGCTGACTGAAGCCTCGAGCAACGTAACGCGCCTTGAAGGCAGGCGGAGAACCCGGCGGCCGCTTCACTCTGAAAATCCACATGCCATCGACTATGTTCGCCCCAGGTGGGGGAACCTCGTCGACGTAGGTGCCTGTGGACTTCCAGGATGCCATCTTGGCATCCATGGCTTCCTGCCACTGAGAGGAGTAAGGACCCGTAATCGCCTCTACGTAAGAGCGCGGGGTCGGGATGTCTGGTGCATCCGGGTCTACCTCAGGGGCAAGCAGTATGGAAGCAAAACGAGGTACACCAGCTGCAAGACACTCAAAGTCCTCCTTCCTGTCCTCAAGGACGTCCGTGCCAACAGCACACTCACCCCCGACGGACGGAGGACTGGCAGACTCAGACTCAAAAACAAGAGCAGTGGCGTAGTCGGGACGACAGGCAGCAGCAAAGTCAAGCAGCTCAGCAACGAGGGCAGACGCAGCAGTGGATTCAAACTCAGGGTCAGGGACGGCATGAAGAGAGGACTCAGGAGGAGCAGGCAGAGGAACACGCAGTGGAACAGAGGAAGGATAAAGTGCCATAGCTTGGGTGCCGGGGACAGGAGGAGGACGCGGATGAGGAACGCGACGACCAGTGCGAACAGGGGAGGCAGAACAAGACGCAGGCATACGACGCTCTGTAAGACCGCCGACCTGCTCAGTGTAAGGAGAAGGAGGCAGTGCTGAGGCTGGCTGTAACAGCGGCTGCGACTGGTCAGGCGGTGGACACAGTAAGGGAGGAGTAAGGCCAGGAGAAGACGGGACACCAAGAACCTGCTGAAGCAGGGGAACGAAGCACAGTCGTAGCCGCACAGTGCCTCCAGCACCAGTAACACCAGACACAGCACCCCCAGCTCCAGCACCTCCAGTTCCAGGGTCAACAGCTCCAGCTCCTCCAGCTCCAGCGCCACCGGCGCCAGTGCCTCCAGCTCTAGTGCCTCTAGCCCCAGAAGCTCCAGGCTCCTTAGAGTCCCTAGCTCCAACGCCCCCAACACTACCAGTCCCGGCAGCTCCAGTACCCCTGGTACGAGCACCTTGAGGACCAGCAGCTGCAGCACCTCCGGTACCACCAGCTCCAGCAGTAACTCTAGCACCTCCAGCTCCAGAGTCTCCAGCGCCGGTAGCTCCACTCCGAAGGCGTGTGCACTGAGTAAACCACTCGCGCAGGTGCTGCGGGGAGAGAGGCTCCGGCAGGGGAGACAGTCCTGGCAAAGCAACCGCGGGACCTCCAGAAGAAGCGGTACCCCGAGGCTCAGCACCCCCAGACTCAGCACCCCCAGGCTCCACACCCTCAGGCTCAGCACCCCCAGACTCCACACCCGCAGGCTCAGCACCCCTAGGCTCCGCACCCCCAGGCTCAGCACCCCCAGACCCAGCACCCTCACACTCAGCACCCCCAGGATCCGCACCCCCAGGCTTCGCACCCCCAAGCTCCGCACCCCTAGACGCAGCACCCCCAGACTCAGCACCGCGAGCAGCACCTGAGTCGACAGCTACCTCAACAGGCACAGTACCAGGGTTAGGGTCTATCTGAGACATACGTGAGGGAGCACGACCCTAGGGGGGGAGGGGGTCTACCGAAGGGGGACCTGGAATAAGGAAGAGCGGCGAGGGTGGGGAAGGGGCAAAGCAGTAGGGGAAGAGATGGTAAAAGGGAACCGACTCGTCAAACGTGACGTCCTGAGAGGGGAAGACACGGCTCGAGGTGTTGTGCCAAAGCACTATAGTGCCACGGTCATCGCACTCCCATTCAGCCTACAAGCCTGCTCAACTTCTGGAATTTTGTGGGGAGGTGCTTCAACATGTGTTCTTTAAACCCTCAAAGTTTCAGATTTTTTGAAGCAGTTTACAAGGCATGGCATCATTTTTTACTTTCAAGACTTATGGCATCCCGGAAGTGTATGTTACTCTTTTTTTAGTAACACCCGAGTTCACCATTTCGGCTGCTGACTCATCTACAAAGCTCTGATTGGTCTGAAAATCGGTTTGGCAGTCCTTTGCCGTGTTTTGCAGGTGGTCACCGAGTGTCAAGACAACCCAGCATCGGAGCAGCACGTGACAGCTGTCGAAAGTTACTGTTCCGTAATCATGGTGCACTGTTGGCAGCATTTCCCTTGCCACCCTTTCATTGTTGTCATGCCAATGGTGCAGGGACAGAGAATGAGACAAGAAGTACAGGTGGTCAAGTATGACTCTACCAACCTCTTTTTGAGAATTGTGGTCTTTCTGGAAGCAGCTTGCAAGAGGGTGCAAGTGGGAAGACAAGCTGACTCATGGTTGGCTTGACTCACTATTGGTAGCCTTGAGTACAGCTCTGAACATCCAAGTGTGGTTGGCTTTGCTGACCTAGCTAGGACGTTTCCCATCATTCTATAGACTTTCTCCCCTAGGAATCAACCTTCTCTGAGTTCCTAGGATGGTCCCAACCCCTTAAGAGTCCCCTAGGCAATGTTGTACTCAACCTCTTCCTTGCATCAATGAAACTACACGTTTTTCAGCCGATCTTCCGTTTTCGTTCACTGCGTAGCGTATACACCTCAGATGAAAGCAAGCAATACACTGTTGGAAAGCAGACACTTGAAGCTTAATTTATTCCAAGTTTCAGCCTCGTATGTTATTGGAGCTGATCGTGACGGTGTTTTGAACAGAGGCGGTTCGAAGTCATCAGATTCTACTTAGGCGGTTTCAAGGGCATCCGCGACCCCTAAGTGGACTCTAGACAATAACAAGTGGTATCAGAGGCGGTCCTTCTCTGTTTCTGGGTCAATATGGAGGCTGAAGGTTCTGCTCCAGCTGGTCCTAGTGGCAGTGGTGGCGTGAGAGGCACTGGGGAAGCAGGAAGAGGCGTTGCTGGCGGATATGCACCAATAGCATCCGTTTCATCACCAGCCAAGGATGATGTGAAGGCATTCAACCTAGAGAAGTTCTCTGGGAAGGATAGGGCATCATGGAGCTTCAAGATGGAGCTCCTATTTAACCATTACGGGCTGCTTGAAGTGATGGATGGAGAATTGAAGAGGCCTGCGAGCAAAGGAGCAACCAAGGAATGGGATCACCGATCCAAGGATGGATTCTTCCTTCTCTCTCAATGCCTCTCATCCAACCAGCTGCACCATGTCAAGCATCTCATCAAGGATATCCAGTGTGGTCCCAAGGCATGGAAAATATTGAAGGATGTCCATGCCCCCAGCAGCGAAGCGATGGTGGTGGTGCTCGAACGACAACTCCATGCGGTGAAGATCAACGAGGGTGATGCCGTGCAAGGAGCGTTCGATCAACTCCGGGACCTCTATGTGAAGCTCTCTGCTGCTGGTGTGGACTACCCTGAAAATATCAAGTGCTGCAAGGCTCTTTCCCTGCTGCCAGAGTCGTGGGGCCCCTTGGCGGTCAACCTCAATGGCATGAAGGACTCATGGTCCCTTGAGTGGATTCGTGCTCAAGTCCTTCAAGAGGAGTTTCGGAGGAAGGAGCTGACTGCCGCTGCCGGTGAAGGTGGAGGCTCTGCCTACGGCATGAAAGTCTTCAAGGGACGTGGCAGCAAGAAAGGCAAGGCCAAGGAAGGCTCTGGAGCGGAGCAGTATTCGGGAGGGAAGCGTGGCAACAAGGGAGGCAAGTGGTGTGGCGGCAAGTGTTGGTATTGCCATGTGGAAGGTCACCCATGGTTTAAGTGTCGCAAGCTACCTGACGGTTGGAGGCCTGGTCAGCCATCAATTGAAGGCTCTACGGGTGTTCATGGAGCTATGGGAGAAGGCATGGGCAGTGAGGAGGGCGATGGAGGTGCTGGCGGACATGGCGGCATGTTCTACCATGTAGGAGAGGCATGCTCCGAGGACATGGTTGTACCGCCCAGCAAGGTTGCTCTTCACCGCTCCTCCCATTGGGTCATGGACACGGGAGCCTTCATGACCATGACCAACCGAGAGGATCTGCTGGATGAAGTCAGGCCATCAAAGGCAGCCACTGTCGTTTCAGCCACCGGCCAAGTTGTACCCGTG